CAGATTACGTATATACGATGGATATGGACCCCCTAAAAATACTAGCTTAGTTATTCAACCTTGGACACTCTATAATGGCAATTATTATACTACATTTCCTGGATATGATATTAACAGCCGATGCATCTTCATTTCATCAGGTTTAGAAGACTTTTACCTCTCTTCATGGATTGGATCAATGTAAACTTATTAAATAATGAAGCAGTAGGATTGTTGTATCAATCAAATACTACAATTACTCCAACAACTACGACTTCATTTTATATAAACTTTGATTCATCTGAAAATATGCCCAACGTCGATAGTGGTAGAAGAATGGTAGTGACACTCAACTCTGGCGATGATCAAGTTGGACAATCTGGAAGCTATTCTTTATTGTTATGACAATACTACTATTATGCTAAGATAGTTGCATTGATAGTTAAAATCTTTTTTCAATTTTTTATGAAACTTGCAAACCATAAAAAAGTGACAACTTTTTATAACAATTTTTTGAATTTTATCACAATGTCCCGGAATCGGCAGTTCCTAGTACTAAAACTCCAGATTTTATTGCAGGATTATTATTTGAATTTGGTTTTATTGGTATTTGTGGATTTTCGAGGAATTTTGAAATCATAGCGGAGACTTAACCAAAGACAACGGAGTTAAGTATGCGTCAAACAGCTTGCAACCTCTTTTTAAAAAAATTGTAGAAACTTAAAAATAGTTTTTCACCGTACGTCAGCTCATCTTTGTAATGTCTTCTAAACGGTTTCTTACATACGTTTTTTGTCATATTCTTATTTTATTTTATTTTACACCTGATGACGGTCTGAGCTAATCAGACTAAAATATTACATAAATAAATTAAAAATTAGTACTTACCTGTATTTTATGTGTTATATATTAAGTGAATAAATTATCAAATACTACAAGAAATGCCATCGAAACAACAACATTTTTATTTTATTTAGTATAGAATCAACTTAATGGTCTGCTTTAAATGAAGTTTATTTTTAGAGCTAACAAATAGTTTTTTGACAGAAATAAAAATGTAATACTTTAATCATTTGCGTTCAGAGAAGAGTGCAATTAAAATAGTTGATATAGTTTAGTGACAATGCAATTTATCATCAATGCAATCACTTCAAAGATCTTGCAATTTTTGGCGTTAATAAAGCTATGTAATAGTTCTGAATATTATTCAAGGTCTTCATTATTTGAACGTTTCTTTGAAAAATATCCAAATGGTTTTTTATTATCAAGCAACATAATATTTTGTAGAGTTTCTTGTAAGACTTCATACTTTTTCTTGATTTTCAGGCTACTAAGTCCTCGGATATTTTTAAAAAGGAGGCATGTTTTAAATGTTTTGACAAACATTTTTATCTTTTTTGTGTTTAATAACATTATTTTATGTTTTTTACAACATCCATTTATTCCATATTTCTAGATTGTGGAATAAATTTTTTTTAATATTTGTATTATATCTCAAAATCTTATTTATAAAAAATTGGGGTGTAATTCAGGTTCTTCCTCAGCAGTTTTCAATATATGGTCTCCTAATTATTTTGTTCCACTTATTTGAAACTTATTTCATCGTGTAAGTCTTCTTTCATAATTTCATCTAAATCATTGCAAAGTTGTTGAGTTTTCCTTCAGTTGATGTATTTTTAAAAACTAAAGGCTCTTGCCAGGTTGTTGCTAATGGTTGTTCAAATAAAAAATCTTAATCGAATATTGCTCCTATTAAAAGAGTTTCAAATTTGCCTGACTTTGAAACTTTCATATTTTTGTTGCAATTTTTAGTAGCAATAGCTTTTTTAATAGCTGTTAATTTTAAAATAGGAAAAGATGATCCATTATTGATAAATTTTGTTGAATGAGTTTTTGTGGCAACATAAGATTATAGCTTTTTCTTATCTGAAATTAATCTAAAAAGATTTTTTTTAAGAAAATGGTTAGGTCATTTTCATGTTTGCTTTTATCACAGACAATAGGGCTTAATGTATGCCGTCTGAATTATTTGGAAAGTATTTTTGCACAATGGTGACACAATGTTAAAACATCATTTAATGTCAACCCTTAAAAAAACCACATAGATATCTAAAATTACACAAAATCAACTTATAGAGTGTTGTGGTAAGGGTGACGAGAAGGTTTTTATTTTTGAAGTCATTAAAAATAAGTGCTTTCTAATTTTAGCTGATAAAGCATCTAATTGTGTTAAGGTTGAAAAGATGTCTATTTTTATTGAGTAAATAGACAGAAGCTATAAAAATTGTGTAAATTTATAAAGATTTATTGACTGTCTGAAACTGTACTATTAGCACAATATAAAAATATTACAGTTTTAGACAGTGTGTCTGTCTAAAACTGTACTATTAGCACAAACATTCTTGGTCTTGACATCTAAAAACACAGAGGGTGAGGATATGGTGTTGCTGCAACTATGTCAGAAAAATGTATAGGATTTACTCCAAAAATTCAGAAACTATATCTGAAGGCCATCTTTGTTTATAATGCATTTCATAAGCGTAGTCTAGTTGTGAGAGAATCATGTAATGTTCAACGTAGAAAAAAATTATTCGAGCTCGTTTATGACCTTTTTTACTTTTTATTTTGTCTCCAAAAAGGAGTGCATGTTCCAATAAATATCTTCTGTTGGTTAAACTAAGCTAATTTAATCTAATTTAGAGCTTTATTTAACCAACAAAAAATAACTATTTAAACATACACGTCTTTTAAAACTGAAGTCAGTCAAAGAAAGGTAAAGAAAAGTCAGTCATCAAATATATATATATATGAAGTAGCTTTTGCAGGTAATATCTTTATTAAATGAAATTTAAAACATATTACCAATTTTTTTAACAGCAGAAAAACTAATAAAAAATTTTTAAATATAAAAAAACTAGAACTTTCATATTTTGAATTCAACATGTAGGACACACATCAATTAAATTGATCTTTGTCCTATATGTTGGATTTAAAATAAAAAAGGTCTAGTTTTTTTTATTTTTTACAATTTTTCTGCAGATAAAAAAATTGATAATATGCTCTAAAATTATTTAATAAAGATATTTCTGCAAAAGCTACATCATATATATATTTGATGACTGTTTTTTCTTTAATTTTAAGTTTAGTTTTAACTAAACATTTCATGAATTATTTATATGGCATTAAAATGAGACTCCAGGTTAAGCAATACGATACATCACAGTAAGTTCTTTAAATTAATCATTTAAAAGATAAAAGCTTTAAGCAAAAAAATTTAAAATTAGTTTCTGTCTCTATTACTCGTATAATCATTTTACATGGTTTTTGATCAAGTTACTCCACGGGGCATGCACTCAAACATTTATTAGAAGTTTTCAGCGGAGCCTCTTCTTTTAATAATTTCGCTTTAGTTATATTTTTAGACTTGTCAAGCATTTGACACTGTAATTTATCAGATTTTACTAAGAAAAACTAAAATGTTTGGAGTATGCCATGAACGCCGTAAATGGTTTACCAGTTACTTAATTAATCGAAAACAGTTTATATATCTAAATGACGGTTTTCAAACAAAAAAAACTTAAACTATTATGTGGAGTTTCAAAAGGCATTTTAGCCTCTCTATTGTTTTAATCTAAGTCAACTATCTGAACAGATAATCAAATACTATGTTTACTATTATGTTTGCTGACACCACCGCTTTGTTTTATTCTAACAGTAACATTATCTCACTCTTTCAAGTAGCAAAACTTAAGCCATTAAAATTTAACTGTAATGATAAAGCATTGAGAATCACTTCATTAATAAATAATTCCATTACACAATCAAAATAATTATTTAAATTTTAAATAAAAGCATAATACGAGTTCCAATAAGTAAGATTGATACTTATTTAAGATTTCTATTTTTTACAATTACAAAAAGAAAAATCTAAAAAAAAAATTATAATAAACAAAAAAAAAAAATTGAAAAATTAATTAGAAAACAGACATAAGGTAAAAATTTGAAAGTGACTATTTTTGTAGAAAATACGCTTGCGCAAATGATAAACATTTTTTTAAACACGGTTTCAAACAATCTTGTAAAATTTCTACCAAATGTGCTTGTTGTAATTAAAGTGTTGTTTTTAAAGTTTTAAAATGAGCTTGTTGTTTTTAAAGTGACCTAAGTCATCTTTTTAAAAAAATCATCTGTTTGATAATAATGATGAGAATATAACGGTATCTCTTCATTTGTGAAAATTCTACAAATGTAATACAATAAATTCAAATATAATTTTCAGCACAATTAGCTTAAATTATTTCAAAATAAAATAATCTAATTTAAATTATTTCACAAATGAAAAAATGAAGAAATACCGTTATACTGTAATAATGGTTCTCAATATTTTTTTTTGAAAAGGTGATTTATGCGACTTTCAAAACAAACGGCTCAAATAAAAAAAAAGGTTGGATTTTGTTATGGTTTGCTAGGGCCGTTGATTTCAAACACAGCAAAATTGAGAATAACAACAATTTCACAGTTATAAAACTTGTTTTTTCGTCTAATTCAATTTAAAGTGAGAGAGAAATTAGTTTGCTTTTAAGAGTATGGTTTAGCAGCCTTTAAGATAGTCTACTTTCTATAACTATATTTTAAATTCATCAAAAGATTAGGTTTCGATAACTATAAATATCTCAAGTTTACACCTATTTCAATAAAAGTACAATTTAACAAAAAATTCCTAACATGCTAAAACATTATTAACATTATTACTTAGATTAAAAATAACAACAAAAGTACTAAGATTTTAGGATATTCGTTTTTAAAATAATGCAAAAAGTGACATAAAACTACTTCAAAAAAAAAACTACAAATAAAGTCATTGACCACGTAAAGTAACGTCTAAATAAAAGAAAAAATGAGAGAAAAAAAAAATATATATATATATATATATATATATATATATATATATATATATATATATATATATATATATATATATATATATATATATATATATATATATATATATATATAATGGATCATCAGTAGATTAAACGGCGATTAACTTTCAGACAGTGTAAAGTTTTTCCAGATAGATGGAGGTTGACAATATATATTTTGTTTGGTTTCCCAGGAGACAGACTGAAATTGCTGCCAATAATCAATTGATTCATGGTAATAAAACGCATGATAACATTTTTTGTCTACAGCAAACACCTCTGGTCCATAAGTCAAAGGATTTGTGAAATGAACATTTCTTGATTGTATAATAGAAATGTGAGCGCAACGGTCAATATTTAAGTAGTATCTGACTCCTAAACAAACAAAATAAAACTCAACTTTTTTTTATACTTTACTTTATAACGTTTTTAAGATAAAAGTTTTGAAGTTTTTAAGTTTTAACTATTATGTTTTAACTTTTATTTAAGTTAATTTTGAAAAATTAAAAAAAAAGAATTTGCTATTTTTATATAAGAAAAATTTATATTGAGTGGCGAAGTCATTAACGACAAGTTTAGAGGTGAGTCTCATCCTTTTTTTTACTGGAACAGGATAGGAAAGGGAAAAGCAATCACACGAGCTTCCGTAGTTTTCCTTCAGACATATAAAAAGTTATTTTACGCATGCCCACGTAATTATTTTTTCCGTCCGTTTCTCGTTACCGTGAGAAAACAGATGAGTGGAAACTCGCTTAAATGATATAGTTTTAATCAGTACAATGTTGTCATGGCTCTAATGCTGCTCTTCAAAAATTATTTATACTTGTGGATACTTGTGTTGTAAAATAAAAATAATATATATATATATATATATATATATATATATATATATATATATATATATATATATATATATATATGTATATATATATATATATACATATATATATATATATATACATATATATATATATATATATATATATATATATATATATATATATATATATATATATATATATATATATATATATATATATATATATATATATATATATAATTATTATTTATAATTTTTTTTTTTTGTAAGGAAATTCGCAGAAGACTAAAATAGTCTTTTCATCAAGAACCTTTAAAACATAAAATAAACTTTATTGAACTAGTTAACAACAAATACACATAAGTATTTTGGTATCTACTATATAGTAGAAGTAGTTGGGTTTTTTATTATTACTATTTTTACCAAATTGTTTAATACATTTCGATGAAGTTGGTTAAGTTAATTATGATATGTTTTAGTTTTTTTTTCAGAGCAATAAGGTTATCCATTTTATTAAGTTCCATATTTTGAAGTATTATTTTGTTATGTAAGTATGGGCCACGGTATAATAAAGAAAATCGCGAGAATTATGTTTTTTTTAAAGGCAAGGTGAAGTTGCCTGTTCCTCGTGTAATATATTTGTTTTCGTTGATATGAAAAAAGCCATCAGTAAAGTATTTCGGAACAAGTCCGATTTTGTATTTTAGCATGAATAAGATATTTTAGTAAATATTTATTTGATAGATATTTAATGCATTCAAATTTTTAAGTAAAGGGTCGGCATGAGTGAATTTATCTATTTTATAAAATAATCTTGCATGCATGTTTCTGATGTATGTAGAGTGAATTTAATTTAGTTTTATGGGTACTTCCCCATGCAATATTAGCGTATGTTAGGTAACCTTGAATATAAGAAAAGAAGAGAATTTTTAAGTTGTCTTGGGAAAGCACAGGTTTGGCTATGTAGAGTACGCCGATACTTTTTGATATTTTTTTGTTTATTGTATTAATATGGGTTTTCCAATTATTATTCTGGTCAATATATATTCCAAGAAACTTAGTTGTTTCAGTCCTTTTGATGTATATGTTATCAATTTTTAGTCAAGTTAGAGTGCCTGGTATAAAGTTTTTAAGACGGTTGGAGTGAAACAAGATATATTTTGTTTTTTCTGTATTCAAAGATAATTTATTTACTTTAAACCAGATGTTGAGGTTTTCTAGGTCAGTGTTCATAGATTTGTAAAGGTCGCTTATAGACGGCAATGAGTAAAATAAATTTGTATCATCAGCGAACATTATTACATCAAGTTTTTTAGGGCTTTTGGAAGATCGTTGATATATATTAGAAATAAAAGGGGACCCTAAATGGAACCTTGGGGAACTCCGCATTTTATTTCTAGTAGGTCTGAATATTTATTATGATCTGTAACAACGCATTGTTTTCTGCTGCACAGGTAACTTTTGAACCAGTCAAGGGATATATTTTTAACACCATATCTTTCCATTTTTTAAGTATTATATTGTGATTAACTGTGTCGAACGCTTTGGATAAATCTATAAAAGTCCCTAATACAAATTGCTTTTTATCGAAAGAATTACTCATGCTATTTAAAAGATCTAAAATGGCATGTTCGGTTGAGTGTTTTGTTTAAAACCAGAATTGTTTTTTGTTTAAGAGATTATTTTGAAGGAGATATTCGTATAATCTATTGTAAACTATTTTTTCAAGTGTTTTAGAGAAAGTAGGCAGTATAGAGATTGGTCTGTAATTATTTAATAAAGATGTTTCGCCTGTTTTAAAAATTGGTATAATTTTAGCAGTTTTCAATTTATCTGGTACAGTACCTGTTTTAATTGATGATTTAAATATTTCGAAGATCGGTTTGCATTTCTCCAAAAAGACTTCGATAACGATATTGCTACAAATATCATCTATATCTGGAGATTTATTTATTTAATTTGTTATTGTTATTAGTTGAGTATGTCTCAAATGAGTTGTTTGGACCATTAATTTTGGTAGCCAGGTTAGAGCCTATGTTAACGAAAAAATTGTTAAACTTTTCTGAGTTTACGTCACTGCTGACATACTCTTCATTATTTATAACAACTTTAGTAGGTAAACTATTTGGTTTGAAATTTTTGTTCCCAATTATTTGTTTAATTACGTCCCATGTTTTTTTAATATCACCTTTGGAGTTTCTTATTATATTTGAGTAATAATTCTTTTTTAAAATCTTTTTGATTTTTTTACAAAGAAATTTTTATATTGTTTGTAAGCATATATATATATATATATATATATATATATATATATATATATATATATATATATATATATATATATATATATATATATATATATACATATATATACATATATATATATATATATGTATATATATGTATATATATATATATATATATATATATATACATATATATACATCTATATATATGTATATATATGTATATATATGTATATATATATATATATATATACATATATATACATATATATATATACATATATATATATACATATATATATATATATATATATATATATATATATATATATATATATATATATATATATATATATATATATATATATATATATATATATATATATATATATATATATATATATATATATATATATGTATATATGTATATATGTATATATTTTATTGTTATTATTATTATTAATATTATTATAATTAATATTATTATTATCATTAATGTAATTAATGATATTATTATTATCCAAAGATAAAACTAAATGAAGAGCTGTACAATAACACATCAATCGGACAGTCTTAATATTCTGTTAACCGAACCAAAAGTTAAACTTCTTTTAGCCCACTTGAAAAGCAGTTTCTTTGAATTGATCTTATACTTAAAATAGTTTCAAAAGATGGCAGTCTTAACTTCAAAAACATTCGAATAAGGTTGCAAAATTTTTTCCAATTTAAAAAACATTTTTGCACATTTATTATAATATTATCGTGGATAGTGTTATAATAAATGTAAAAAATGATCAAAAAAGCATATTAAGTGCAATATAGAATGGTTATTTTATGCTGATGACTAGTATTTATAGCTCTATCTTGGTTGTCTCTGCAGAAGTTATTGAATGCAAACAATCAAGATGACCTTTTTAATCAAAATATTATTTTAACACAGTTAAAATATTATTTTAACACAGTTAAAATATTATTTTAACACAGTTAAAATATTATTTTAACACAGTTAAAATATTATTTTAACACAGTTAAAATATTATTTTAACACAGTTAAAATATTATTTTAACACAGTTAAAATATTATTTTAACACAGTTAAAATATTATTTTAACACAGTTAAAATATTATTTTAACACAGTTAAAATATTATTTTAACACAGTTAAAATATTATTTTAACACAGTTAAAATATTATTTTAACACAGTTAAAATATTATTTTAACACAGTTAAAATATTATTTTAACACAGTTAAAATATTATTTTAACACAGTTAAAATATTATTTTAACACAGTTAAAATATTATTTTAACACAGTTAAAATATTATTTTAACACAGTTAAAATATTATTTTAACACAGTTAAAATATTATTTTAACACAGTTAAAATATTATTTTAACACAGTTAAAATATTATTTTAACACAGTTAAAATATTATTTTAACACGGACAGTTTGTATGATTTATAACTCAAACCAAAAATCAAAAATTGTGTCGTTGTTTTTTCCAAAATTGAGTGTAGCAGGATGCAAACTGCAATTTGTAGACATATTTAAATCTCTTAGTCAAATTGTAAAAAATGATCTATCAGATATTATGATTATAAAAAAGAAAAAAAAAAAAAAATCTATTTCCTTAACAAATATGTTAATAAGGCGCTTTTATAGGTTTTCAAATATTGATATAGTAAAATTTTTCCAATTACATCTTATATGCTTATATAATGCATTTTTGAAATTTAAATACTATAAAATAGGTATAGTGTAGACAAATAAATTTAATAAATAGTGTTAAAAACAAAAAAAAAGGATTAGTGTCCCAAATAGTAAAATGAATAGTGTCGCAAATAGTTAAACTGGAATAACGTCGCAAATAGTAAAAACGGATTTATAGTTGTTATTATTTTTTTGTTTTTTAGATTATTCATTAATGACTATACTTTTTTTTCTTTTTCAATAAACCTTTACGAGATTATTTCGTTTTCTATTTTCTACACTATTTATTAAATTCATTTGCGACGTTGCTCCTCATTCTGTTATTCGACGATCAATAATGCAACAGTATGCAACACTATTTTTTTTTTTGCACATTTTCAACTATCATATTTATGAAAAATAAAAAATTCGCCACAATCAAAATTGTGAGGCATTTTTACGCCACACCCATCTTCCCTTGTTTCTGTACCAAAATGCAATCAGACTCGCTATATATTTTGATATTCATTTGATATTCAAATAGGTTACAGAACAGAAGCCAGTAATCAACGTTATCAACTGTCTAACATGGAGGCAGGGCAAGCTTTGAGTAAAACA